ATTTTAAGAATAATGATAGTGAGTATTTATGTCCATAGCATGGTAAGTTAGAAGTGTTCATATAGAAACGTAAACCATTCGGCGGAATCATTTTTGATAAAACATCAAAACTGATTCAGCATTTAGTCGCTTATAATTTTATTGCAAATGAGGCCTTTACTCTTCCTAAAATTTAAGTCCATTGTTCTATCATTGATTATTATCTGTCATTATTTCATAGGAAAACAATGTAAAAATAGCATTTTCAACCACATAATCTTCAACATTATGTCATTACAGTAATGTAATATTTAATTAAGATACTATAGTATGTGTTCCAAATGAAAGAAATTACATTTTCTCATAATCATAACAGCATAAGTAGTGATTCAAAAATGATACGACAATAGGCACTGAATGGATTTTTTTTATCTATTACAGGTTGTGACCGACTATCCGCCGTGAATTTTATAAATTTTATCTATAACACACACACTAATCAAATCTACCGACAAAAACGTATATAATAAGTAAAAGGTAAGTCCATCGCAACAGATCTGGCTTAAGAATATATTAACTGAACTGTTAACCGACTCGCGCACGCGCACATAGGGGACTTCGCACTTTGTCATATAACAATTATATACATGTACAAATTTTAGCCAAACAAAGAGAGTTACGCAAAGTGGAGGTCGGATGTAAGGAACTAATAACTTTGAAATTATTTCCAAAAGATAAAAAATCGACTTTAGACGTTTGTAATTTTTCTGTGTTATTAAGCAGCTGTGCGCTAATTGACTAAGTATGGTCACGTGTAGCATGGCCTCTCTCTCTCTCTCTCTCTCTCTCTCTCTCTCTCTCTCTCTCTCTCTCTCTCTTTGACTGGCTTTTGCTCCACTGAATAAATTAAAATAAAATGAATGTTGAGTTAATTACCGGAAGGATCATAACAGATTGAATACCAGTAAATAGAAACAATGACATAAATGATTTTATCTTACTATAATATAATACTAGTATATTAACTGTGTGTTAGTAAATTGATTTGGGTCAGAAGCAGATTATAAAAAGATGTCAAGTCATATGTCAACAGGAAATTACCTTGAGAATATATTTGAGTCATGTGACAGTATCATTTCTTTTGCGGAAACATTGTTTTTTATAAACAACAGCAAAACTTAAGTAACATAACCCTAACATAGGTCGCACGTCACAAAACATGAACAAGGTTACTTATTCTAAATAACGCATAGCCAGACAATATATAAACACCCAGACAATAATATAATCTGTTAGTAGGAGGGAGTGGGAGGATAAGTAGTTCTGTAAATACAAAGTTTATAATTAACTGCAAATGGACTAATGTAAAATATAATATTTCCTGAACAGTGTAAAAAAACCTAGACTTTCTTCTTTACAGACGGGGGAAGGTGCTGAAATCTAATGCTCTCCACAGCTGGGTCAATATGAACTAGAAATGTGTCATCATGCCACGGATGCCCCCGCATGCAGCCAAAATTTCAAATGTTATAATATTTAGTTCCAAATTTGTTTGCACAAATTATTTTTTTCATTCTAAGTTCAAAGCCCTTAAAACTTTTCAATGTTAACACAAACCATTTTCATACAATGTTCAAGGCACTGAAATTATAATTCAGTCTTAACCTTTTAAAAATAGCATATTGCATATTTGTAGCCAACATAATGGCTATATACATTTCCACAAAAGTATGAGTGCTGAAACTGAAAGTTCAAAATTTTTCCAACATTCAGGAAAGATAAGTTTGTCTAAAATCATTGAACCACGACCAAATTCAAACTTAAACTGCTTATTCCTAAGATGTATCTATATTATTTTCAAAGTGAAAGGGACATAACTCTGCCAAAAAATCATCGAACCATGACCAAATTCCAACTTGACCTGCGCATTCCTTTGACATATCCATATGTCAATTTTGAGTTGAATATGTAACACTGTTGGGTTGATAATAAACAGAAACTGTAAATTTCATATCATTTTCAAAGTGAAAGGGGCATTACTCTGCCAAAAATCATTGAACCATGACCAGATTCGAACTTGGTCTGCGCATTCCAAAAACATATCCATATTTCAAATTTGAGTTGAATGTGTAATATTGTTGGGGAGATAATAAACAGAAACTGAAAATTTCATATTATTTTTAAAGTGAAAGGGGCATAACTCTGCCAAAAATCATCGAACCATGACCAAATTTGAAATAGACCTGAGCATTCCTTTGACGTATCAATATGTCAAATTTGAGTTGAATGTTTAATACTGTTGGGGAGATAATAAACAGAAACTGAAAATTTCATATTATTTTCAAAGTAAAAGGGGCATAACTCTGCCAAAAATCATCGAACCATGACCAAATTTGAACTTGACCTGCGCATTCCTTAGACGTATCGATATGTCAAGTTTGAGCTAAATGTGTTGTACGATTGGGGAGATAATGAACGGAAACTGAAAATTTCATATTATTTTCAAAGTGAAAGGGGCATAACTCTGCCAAAAATCATTGAACCATGACCAAATTTGAACTTGACCTGCGCATTCCTTTGACGTATCCATATGTCAAGTTTGAGTTGAATGTGTTGTACCATTGGGGAGTTAATGAATGGAAACTGAAAATTTCATATTATTTTCAAAGTAAAAGGGGCATAACTCTGCCAAAAATCATCGAACCATGACCAAATTTGAACTTGACCTGTATTTTCTCATGACATATCAATATGTCACGTTTGAGTTGAATGTGTTGTACCGTTGGGGAGATAATGAACGGAAACTGAAAATTTCATATTATTTTCAAAGTAAAAGGGGCATAACTCTGCCAAAAATCATCGAACCATGACCAATTTCGAACTTGACCTGTATTTTCTCATGAAATATCCATATGTCAATTTTGAATTGAATGTTTTGAACCGTTTGGGAGATAATGAACGGAAACTGAAAATTTCATATTATTTTCAATGTAAAAGGGGCATAACTCTGCCAAAAATCATCGAACCATGACCAATTTCAAACTTGACCTGTATTTTCTCATGACATATCCATATGTCAAATTTGAGTTCAATATGTGCAAGGGTTATTAAGATAATGAACGGAAACTGATGATGACGGAAGGACGGAATGACGGAATGACGAAACAGGGTAACACTATATGCCCCTGCCATTATATGGCGGGGGCATAATGATGCAATGATAAAATTATCTGTCATTTTGGAGCAAAAACTATGCCAGGCAAACAAGAAGTATCTTTAAAAAGATACTCGGCCAAAGTAAACCTCCTTTAATTTTATAGATTATTTCAGAGTTTTTGAATATACTCGGCACTTGTTTAAAAAAGACAGTAATTGCATGTCCAAATTCTCAGTTGCTGATACTTTTACCACAATACGTAGACATAGCATTTATTGGTTTGATCTAGAAACACTGAAAAGTATTTTTTTGGTATTTGTTTCTTATATTGACGTATTCGTGTACACATTAATATGTGCTTCATTAAAGAATTTCTCTTTTACGCCTATTGATAAAGTAACACATCCTTGGAAAAGACTTTTAAAAAAGACTTCCTGGAAATATCACTTGGATACATTATCACCAAGTAGAATGAATTCCAATGTTCTAATTCAACGTCTTTTTCTATAAACATGTATATGACAATTACTCAAAGTATTTTGTATATATCTTAGTCAGTTTACTGGTGTTTATACTTTATATTTGCACTCTGCTTTCTTCACTAGTATAATGCCTCAAGCCAAACTTTTTGTAACGCTTTGACGTCGACCTCTCTTGACGTCATGCGACGCTGACATAATTTCCTGTTTATTGTTAATTATCTAAATGTTGGTATATTAAAGGGAATTTTAAAAATTGCAGTTGACACTTATTTTTTCTATTTCTTCATTAATATGCAAGGATACATGTATGAGCATCAATTGAACACTTAAATAATGTCACGAACACTGAACATAATCTACTGAGAGTACCAGAAAGGTGCAGAGTTTTTATGTGGTGTCTTTCTGTGTGTTTCCCAGTATTTGTTTAACACTGTTTAAATTTAGATATTTTGTTTTATGGATAAATTTACGACTTTGTTTACTAGCTATCTATTATTTAATAAGGAATTAATTACCTTGCTAATTGAAGAAGTGAAGAATGTGTCAATATTTAATTTCGTCTAACAACATATTAGGCTTAACTGGAGATGTATGCATACTTAGGCAAATAAAGTTTCGATTTGCTTCAAGTACAAAATTATAAATATCATCCTTAACGTCGTTTTTTTTTTTCTTTTCTAGAAATTTTATGTATGCATGCGCAATTTTTCAGCTGATCAATTTATTAGTTTCTATATAGAGCGTAAAAGACATTTTTATATCAGCCTAAATACAGTTCAACCTATTTGCAGTGTACAATACATTTTAAAAGCATATCGTTTACCCTGCAACAAGGATAATATTACATATTTCTGTCAAGTCTTCAAAAATATTAATTTATCTATGGTACGGGTACTTTTCATTACGTCTGGTATTTTTGAAGTCTTGTACACATTTATACCATTTAATGTAGGCCTGGTCTACTGAATGTTACAACGCTTTTCATATAGAGAATGAAAATAGTACACAAATTTGATATTTAATTTATTAACGGGTATTCTTACTACTAAGTAGCTTTCCAGCGACAATGTTCGAAAGCAGACAGAACTTTAGTTATTGCTGAGATATCTTTCGTTAAAAGATATGGGGTCTAAGATGACGCAATTTCTTTATAAATGAACAAAACCATATATAGCAGATACGTATGAATGTAGAACCAATAGTAGCATTTCTAAGCTATTAAAACGGTAGACCCAAAGATCATCATGCACATATCTTTACATAGCAGATATAGCACCGTCTGGAACTGCGCAACACTTCTAATACAAATAGTTATATTTCCCAGAAGAAAACATAACTGTTTTATAAATAGTCGATTGTGAATAAAATAACAGAACACAGAATGATTGGAATAAGGCCGTGACTTTATTGTGCTTTTTGGTGAAAACAAATATCATCGTCAAAAAATATGAAATGAATGAGAAAAATATGAAAGACAGCTCCCAGCTAAATGCATGGAAAGCTACATAGCAACGCAAAGTGCTGTAAACTATGGTAATAAGCTCTGAAAATGCTAAACTCTGCTTGGACTGGCCGCAAAGAGGTCAACGATTAAGAATATAAAGCGGCGTGGCATTTTACAAGAGTAAAACAATAACAAAGCTAAAGAGAAATCGGGGCAAATTGCTCCCATTAAATCTCTTAACAATGAGATATTCGCAATGATAATGAAAAGTCTTGAATATAATTTGACTTAGAGAAGTTACAGTAATACTATATAAAGTCACGACTGGATTTAACACACTTTTGTATCAATTACTAGTATACACACGTATTTGCATTATGAAAGATATATTCTAGTTTTCAGATATGATCAATAAAGTTAGGTATGTGAAAATAGTAAAATAAAAACATTTTGATTTCCTATACCATGAAACTTGCAAATTGTGGTCGACTCGCCCAGGAAAAACCAAATAAAACCCAGTGGGAAAAATAGGAAACCTGTACCCGTTTGTCAATGTCATACCACAAAAATGTCGGGTCGCATCCTTACAAATTCATTTAAGCATTAGAATATATAAAAAGGCACCATTTTAATCATTTAGCTCAATTAATTATTGTTAATACTAATAAATATTTTAATAAATTATTTTTAAGTATCGAGTAATGTTCCAAATTACAACTGTTTATTTCTACAACAAAGTTTGTTGTAATCAGACGTAGAGCATCCAATTATTACTTTGAGTGTCAACACATTTCAAACACTAAATACGTGGGATAAAATGTTTTCTGTAGACTGTAATTACTGGACATCAAATTCAAGCACAGGTGTCGATGGAGCGGCATGGCATGGCTGAACGGGAAGTAATGAAAAACCGGCTGGATTCAAGCTGAAAAATATAAACACTCGGCAGCAGAAAATGTTTATGTAAAATTGAAATACAAATAACACATGGGAAAGGAGGGTGGGATTTTAATAAGCGATGTTTCCACGTCAAATTTTAAACTTTAAATGCGCAGCCTTTACAATGCACGCACGAAAAACTCGTGCTTGGTAAACTTACGAAAACGAGTTTTATCGGAATGTTTTACCGTTTCACACGGATTGGTTTTGAGGCAATTACACATATGCACCCGTCAAAAATTAAACGGGATTTATTTCTCAAAAGAAGATAAATCTACTTAATTTATTAACGGGTATTATTACTACTTAGTAGTTTTCCAGCGACAAGGTTCGAAAGCAGACGGAACTTTAGCTATTGCTGAGATATCTTTCGTTGAAAGATATGGGGTCTAAGATGACGCAATTTCTTTATAAATGAACAAAACCATATATAGCAGATACGTATGAATGTAGAACCAATAGTAGCATTTCTAAAATATTAAAAACGGTAGACCCAAAGATCATCATGCACATATCTTTACATAGCAGGTATAGCACCGTCTGGAATTGCGCAACACGTCTGGTACAAGTAGTTATATTTCCCAGAAGAAAACATAACTGTTTTATAGTCAATTGTGAATAAAATAACAGAACACAGAATGATTGGAATAAGGCCGTGACTTTATTGTGCTTTTTGGTGAAAACAAATATCATCGTCAAAAAATATGAAATGAATGAGAAAAATATGAAAGACAGCTCCCAGCTAAATGCATGGAAAGCTACATAGCAACGCAAAGTGCTGTAAACTATAGACCCCTTTCAAAATTACTAAAAATAGAACGCTGCATATCATTACTGACCACAGGTAATCTCTGGAGGCAGAAAGCTGTCTGCTAATAGCCTTAAAGTTCATGGAAAAGAGTGTTCTGACCTTGTCTTTGGGTTTTTTCTTTATACTTTTTTGTCTGTATAGAAATCTAATTATTTTTTACTTTAAAAAAACTACCCATTTCTGCAGACAAAAAAACACTTCTGATCCATTATTATTTGGAAATAAAAATCTTGGATAAGCTACAAATACCAACATTCAATGCCCCAAGTAATTTTCTTAATTAAACTGCATTTATAAAATTATCTGAGAGTAAATTATAAAAACGCCATTTTATTATATAAGTCCCTAAACACTCTCCTCCCTGAATATATGCAAAATCATTTTAATACTAGATAAACAATATGTATCTATATATAAATCATTTGTTTGAACTGTATACTATGTACATTTTGAAAGAGACTCAAAACGAAGCTTGAAATTGCCAAACTATTGCCTTTAAATAAAGTTTTCATCATCATCATCATCATCATCATTATTATTATCATTATTAAATTATTTACCAGTGTTTCGACATGTACAGCCTGTTCTATTATGAGAAACTTACAAGTGTTGGCAAGGAAGACGCAGTGTACAAATAACATACGTTACAAGGCTTACCTGATAAAGAAAAAAATATGATCAAATCCATGCAACCTAAATTGTCATTGATTTAATTTGAATTATCTTTAATCTATTTTTAACCTCAGGCATAAACTCAGTTTCAAAACTACAATTCAAAACTACCAATATTATAAGAAATATCAGAATACAAAAATATGAAAACAACAGACTGGCTTATATACAAATATTTGTGTAACATCTATCCAAATTATACAGATATTCTTTGACTTCTGAAATGCATAACCCAGTCATTTAAAATATTTCCACTTCTGCAGAAAAGCCTGTTAATAAAATTAAGGCTACACTTTAATTTTTTGCTAACAATTAATTTACTATGTGGAATGGAGAAATTATTAGACTTGCCAGTTACTTAAAAATGATTTATGTTATGAAACATAGTAAAAATCATGAAGCAAAACAATTTGTCACATTATAAAGCGTAAAATGCATGCAAAGAATTATTTGTTGGTTGCCAGGGCTTTAATTTTCTTGGTCAAATCTTTTTTATAGCGTTTGTCCATGCATCCTTTCTCCACAATACGTATTTAGGAATCTAAGTACATAGAATGACATGGTGTTTTCTGTGTTTTGCCTATTTGAGCATCCATAAATTTGAATAAGAATGCCTGTGTATGAAATAAATATGTTTTGTTTTGTTAAAAACCTATTAAAAGTAGTAGTATAATATCTTCTTCCTCAACATTTTATTCTGTAAATGCACGGTTTTCATGTGTTTTCAATAAAAGAAATATTATATGTTGAGAGTCGACCGTGAGATGTTAATATTATAATGTTACCATTTTTGAATTTTATGAAAAATATTTCATTAGAATATTTCATTTTTGATATTTCATTAGTTTTTTAAACTATTTTATTCACCATTAAGTAATATCCTTAATTTTTACATAAAACGAACCCAAAATAAACCAACAGTCAAAGCATCAAATAATTCACAAATTTCTGAAACATTTAAGATATATTTCGCTAATAACAACTGCTTATTTTAACAATTAAAGTATGATTATTGTGATATAACTTCTCTTTAAACTTGTTCTGGAGGCTTATCAGTTAACAGCTTTCTGCCTCCACTAAATAAAACATGAGCGACCTGAAATTGACCTTATATTCTGCAAGGCGTCTATGGTAATAAGCTCTGAAAATGCTAAACTCTGCTTGGACTGGCCGCAAAGAGGTCAACGATTAAGAATATAAAGCGGCGTGGCATTTTACAAGAGTAAAACAATAACAAAGCTAAAGAGAAATCGGGGCAAATTGCTCCCATTAAATCTCTTATCAATGAGATATTTCTTGACGACAACATTTTTATCAAATACCGAAATGCACATTTTGTGTGTTGAGGGCCACTTAATATTTCAAGAAATGAAATTCGCCACTAATGATTTTCATAGTGAATGCACGTATTTGCGAAAGGAAAATGTAAAGATTTGATACAGTTGATGCCTTGGGTTTTCCTAAGTAGTTATTTATTAATTATTTTCATAACTCCTGCGCTGAAATGGTAAAATGCTTATTGGATACCAGTCTGATCTCGACTACCCTGAAATATGCATCAGTGAAAATGAAGGAAAAGGGAGAGAAGTACATGTACACATTTTTAATAAAATAAAGTAAAGAAATTTTAAAAACAAAAAAGGGGGGTTGGAATCTTAGCAAATATTGCTAATATAATATACATCGCAATCCATAAAAAAGTCTGAGCTAAGCTTCAGACCGGTAGGCCAGGGAAACTTACATGTCTGTTTCAAGTTTCAACAAAGCCGGGTGTAAGAGGTATGTAGCAAAGACAACACGGCGATAAAGCGATATGTACGGACCTACACGTACATATCAAACACTGCCTATTCAACTTTCGACTAGCCACTTAAAGGCGTCGGCCGGTTAGTTGATTTTGCGCAGCCCTGTCCAAATAAGACACAGGCAAAATTATGGACAGCTAAATGGCCGACCGCACGGTCACAGGCCCCTCTAACGGTTAAGGGCGCACGCCCAATAACACCAATATAAGAGATAACCGCCGAACGCAAGGTGCTGTAACAAACGGTTAACCTAGAAAAAAGTGAGCACAAAGATACTGCTGCGGTATCATGACTTTTAGAAAATAAATACTTATAACTAGATGTGCCAAAACCATTTTGCAACTTTTTTTTTTTTTTTTTTTTTTTTTTTTACATTTAAACGTTTTGAAAATTATAAAAAAAAACAAAAACAATCTTTTCTCCCGCCTTCCTTCATAAACGATATGCATGCGTTGTAGCATGCCGATTGATGCTATGCAGTCGCACAATACAGCATATGTTTGGGGACAATTATCTCTGGAAAAAAAATGCTTGGTAGAACCATTGACCTTTTCAAATAAAACGGTTTTGGTCATCAAAATACATAGGCTGTAAGACGATCAAACGGAAAATAAAATGAAGTAACTTAGATAAAGAGACTATTAGCTAAAGATTTCTAAAGGGAAACAAAACGTGGAAAACTGAGGTGCCTTTAAACAGACCAAAGACACTGCAAACAAGGTCGTCGGTTCGAATCCTTTATCTTTTTATATACATATATTGAAGGAAGTAGAAGTTTCAATTTCTTATTATTTAATGATAATTGGCCCAGATTTATTATGTATTGCTTAATTCATTAACAAATATGATCGACAATTTCAACTTCTCTTTAATTCGTTAACATTATCAATCAATTTAAATACTTTAGAGAAACTTTGGATTATAACTAATTAAAACGGCATATTTAATCAATGTTTAGAATTTGACAATGTTAAACACGAAAAAAACTTGTCGTACGGATGTTAAAATAGGAGGAAAGTCATATAAGAAACAACAAATTAGCTTGAGTGGCCTGTCAAAGTTTAGTCCGATAGGCCGCTAGGCCGCAAACTTCACAAAAAAGATAAAACAATCAAAAAGTTCTTTTATGATTCCCTGTTTGTTTTATATATTTTTTTAAGCTGCATGCCTCCAGATGAGTCAAAATATTTCAATAAAATCTAACTTGAGAAATATGTACTATGATTTTAGGAAAAGTAGAATGATTCAAGATTCAAGTAATATTTTACATGTAATGTGCGATTAATGACTGATTTTCCAATATTTACAACTACATTTCTACTGCGTTACATGTTCTAATGCAGTAAGGACTATTTATGCATATTTTGACAACTTTTTGGTAATTTGCGTGGGTTGTAGATGCTATTGATAATGTGCAAATTGCTTCCTTTTGGTTATTTCGCAATATTATACATTCAAATACATTTTTAAAAAAAAATCATGAAAATTAGCGTGAATTTGGAGGCGCGCTGCTTTAATATCAAGAATTGTCAAAAGAACTTCACAATGTGCCGTTTGTATTGTTTTTATAAAATTTCTACAACTGTAAAATTTTAGGTTGCCAGGCTATACTTTATGAATATGCATTTTTCCTTTATCTTTTATGTAACTTTAAAATGACTTCAAAATTAACTATGAGTCGACAAACTTCTACAACACTAAGTTCAGGCCACTGGGCCGCCAACTTCACGCCGCCAGGCCGCTGAGCCGCTACTAGGCCACTGGGCCGCTAGGCTGCCAACTTCAGACTCAATTACTATACATCTCGTGCATGAAAGAAAAATTTCTACTTGATAATCTACCCAACAAATCAAGTTAATATTAAAGATCAATGCAAGTAATTACCTTTTACATGAATAGCGTGAATTAAGGAGTCATTTCCCATCAGCACATTGAACCATGCCATGCCGCTATCCATCAGCCCATAGCATCAACCGGTTCCTTCCTTGATATACCTTTGCTCTGGAAGTATTACAGCACGATTCGAGTTTTCACGTGTTCGTCTATATGTCTATAGACGTAGCTGCACACACCAGTCTGTATCAGTAATACTACAAAATAAATCAAAAACATGTACATCTGTACACGACTAAATATTTTCCAAGCTCTGTGTTAAGTTTGTTTTTTTGTTTGTATTACTTTTAACAATAACTTAGTATCTGTATTTAAAATCGAATTGTAAACTTTATTTAACATATAAAATAATGATTAGTCATGCGGAGATAGCCGAGTCATTGTACTTATGCATATACATGTATAAAATTTACACATAAGACACGTGTTCGCGCCCACGCCTTGTGTCGCACATGAAGACTTGAAATAAGCAATCTTACAATTTTTCATGACCAAATAGCAAAATGTCAGTGGTAGTAAACACAAAAAACAACAACATTTGATATCTATATTATATATACCATATCGAACCAAGTTAGCAAATCTTGTGTAAGTTATAGCTACACTGTGAAATGCATATTGAAAATCACTGCCATACTAAATTCAAAATACACATTTTATAAAACCAAAATTAATTAAAATAACATGAAATACTTATCTGAAAGACGAATTGGTGAACACTTGAAACCAGCTGTGTTGAACTTTTGAAGCATTTCAAATACCGACAGCAGTTTTAATAAGCGATGTTTCCACGTCAAATTTTAAACTTTAAATGCGCAGCCTTTACAATGTACGCACGAAAAACTCGTGCTTGGTAAACTTACGAAAACCAGTTTTATCGGAATGTTTTACCGTTTCACACGGATGGGTTTTGAGGCAATTACACATATGCACCCGTCAAAAATTAAACGGGATTTATTTCTGAAAAGAAGATAAATCTACTTAATTATACAGAAGTATCTTTCTTTATTTTGCTTGAACATTATTCCATTTTATGTTCATCACTTGATTTATACAATAATTCTAAATTGTATGATTTTAGACTTTCTGAGTGGAACTCCTCTAATAAAAGAGTTACTAGTAAATGCCAACAAGATTACATTACATTGCAGGCTATATCTGATTTTGTTCAAATACATGTTGCTGACATATGTCCAAATAAAATAACAATATAATACATAATCATTCTGAAACAGTGGCCTAGAACATTTTTTTCTTTTAGCATTTTTCTTGGTAATATCCTCTTAATTAAAACACGTATGGAATTGAATTAGCCTTTACCCATGTTTTATTTCCAAAACGAAAAGGAAATAGGAAATTCATTATAACTAATTTACTTGGGAAATGCATTTCTTCAGTCGATATCAATTTAAAGTACACTGACGTCATCTGCGGCAAACAGACTATATGTAACTGATTAAACGTGAACATAGCAGCGGTAAACCAAATTTATTAAATACCCTACGAATCATTGAATCAAGCAAATTAAATGACATGTGATGAAAAACCGACTTTTCTCACGTTAAAATGAAAAATATAGCTATTTTTCCGTGAGTTGTTTTCCAGTTATAGCGTATCGTAACAGAATATTTCGAAAAATGTTATCCAATGGAAATAAGGCAAATCTAAAGGGTATATTTGAAATGTTAATCAATTTACATAGAAAAAAATCAACTTTAGAACAAGATTGTAAATATGGGTGCACAGTTTGCAGTATGAGAATACTTAATACAGGAAAATGCAGAATGTGAAGTGAATGTTCGTCAGTTTTGAATTAGTTTTTTTCCTGGAATTTATAACATTTGAAATAATTCAATCCTTTTAAAACGTTTAACAGAGATAGGTTTATCTGAAAATCGGCAATAGTCTATTATTCAATGGTATGGTGTATCTTTGAGCTTAAGATAGTGATCACCGAAGACTTACCAAGATATTTGCAATGGATAAATATATTAAAATAAAATAGTGAGAAATGTTGATGAAATAAAATGCCTATTTTTTATTTTCCGTATTTTCTGTAAAAAATTATTTTTCACTGCAGTGAAACATATTTTCCGTATTTTCACTGGTGTCTTGTCGGACTACTTTCTTCTAAATGCAGCCACTACACAAATTAAAAGGGAAATCTTCCAGCTCATCAGGTTAAAAAAGAGAAAAAGTATATAATAAACAGAAAATTCAAGTTTTTTCTATTAATACAGAATTTATTTTCATCTTATGGTACGAAAAATATCATATTTCACTTGTGGCTACTGTAACTCGTGAAATATTTATTTTCATTACACTCGATGAAAATAGACCTATATTTATAGAAGAAACTTGAATATATTCTATTTATTTATGTTACGTTAAGGTTATTCTTAATGATTTAAGGTTTAAGATAATACAGGATGTAAAATATATATATATATATACTACTCAACTTTTGCTAAGCACCGTAAATTTGTTTTTATATTACCACAAGTATAAAACAAAATTCTTTCCGATTTTTGAAAATTCTGATTCAGAAATGTTTTTAAGATAGTTCTCTGACATGAATCCGTGTAGACCTATCCATTACAACTCGTTTAGGTAGCATGGAAAGCATGAGGCCCAATATTTTCATGTTTTTGATGGGTGTACAAACACGTCTTTTGTTATACGGGGACATTACCGACTTGTCATTCAGTGGCTTACATTTCTCACGTCTGTCACTTCGATATGGCGAATGCTAACATTAGGCGGCATTTGAGAGAAGCGGAGTTATGGAGGGCTGTAGGGATGGTGCAGAAGGAGGCCACATTCCGCCAGATTGGTGCTGTGCTTGGTGTACACCAAACCGTCATCACCAGAGCCTGGGAGAGATACCAGCTACATGGTACACCCGGCAGGAGGCATGCTGGAGGTCGGCAAAGGGTCACAACACCATCTCAGGACCGGTATTTGGTCGTTCAGGGACTTCGTGCAAGGTTTTCGACAGCAACTCCTCTTTAAAATGGCCTTGCTAATGCAGCGAGGGTCCGTGTTTCCACGCAGACTAGAAGGCTACATGAAGGTAATTTGCGGTCGAGAAGATCTTGCATTCATATCCCCTTGATGCGTCGACATCGCCAGGCCCGTTTGTTGTGGACCATGGAGCATACACGGTGGACCATGCAACACTTGAGACACGTACTGTTCACTGATGAGTCCAGGTTCTGCCTAGACTTCACAGATAGGCTCTCTAGAGTCTGGAGAAGACGAGGCTGCAAATATTGCTGAGCATGTCCGCTATGGAGGAGGGTCACTTATGATGTGGGGAAGCATCATCTGGGATGAACGAACCTAATGGACGATAATGCTTGCCCCTATAGGGTCAGGGTGGTCGACGAGTACCTAGATAGGGAGTCGATTGAGCACATTGACTGGCCAGCTCGCTCATCTATCTAAAATCCAATAGAACACATGTGGAATGAGTTGCAGGTAAGAATTTCAGCTCGTCAGCTGCAATCCAGAAACATCCAGGAGCTTGAAGCCATGTGCGTCCAAGAATGGGCAGCCATACCCGTTTGAACGACCAGAAACCTAATAGAAAGTATGAGGAGGTAATGCCAAGCTGCCATTGATAGTCATGGGTCACACACATGGTAATGTAAACAAAAAAACAATTTAACAAATTTGGAAAAACACCCTTCATGATCTTAAATCTTCAAAGAGGGGTCATCCTCTTCTCTAGCACAAACTCAGTGTAAAATTCATTTATGGGGTTTAAATTCGTCCTTAAGCTGAATTGATAAAACAGTAAATCAACATTTAAAAACTTTCGCATGGCGTTAATATAATTATCCCAAAAAATATTCACACTCAAACATATGGTGCTTAGCAAAAGTTGAGTAGTATATCAATACGCCAGTTTTGGCGGCAATATTTTACATACGAGTAGATTAGGAACTTTATTAGTATTAATTAATATTAAGTAACGGTGTGTCATCACTACACGCGGATAAAACGACACGTTTATTTGAATTTATTTTCCCAACCACCACCCACCAATATTTACAGCTTTGTTTGTTAAAACAGAAATATGTTATGAGGCTCTATTTTGCTTTGCATTTTTCAGAGTTGACATTTTTTATTGTCTTGAAGCATGAGTGTAGTGATTCTTACCTTGGATGTTTTTTAACATTGTTTATTATTTGTGTCAAGACGACGTATCCAGGAAAAGAAATTGATGGTGATTCATGGAACCACAGATGTGTATATGTAAATTGGAGAGAAAGCATCGTCGACATGGGACTTTGCATTATTTCTTTATTATAATTAAATGCATGTCATAGACACATATATTGTACTTAAATCATTTTAAGTAATTATTTTTCTATACATGTCATCGATGTATGTTTGTCTGTTGAAATAAATATTAAGTGTGTCATTGCTATATCTATACAGTGTTGTTATTTATTAAAGAATTAATGATTAGACAATAAATATTAATGTTGTTGAATGAAATGAAAGAAAATAAATTTGGACGAAAAGATTCACCGGAAGCATTAAAACATACCAGTTTATGTACTTACATTCGTGTTTGTAGAATATCAAAATATGCTATAACACAAATAGCCTTAAAACAGATTTTTACTTTGTTTACATTTTAGATATACAAGCAACATGGTATACGAAATAACATCAGAATAATTTTAATCTTTTACGATTAAAATAAAGGGTCCCAAGCTGTATTAAATTTAACTTTTTCCTTCTTTTTTGCAGACGTTTTTACTGCCAAATGATTTTGTTCTTTTATTTATTAACTTAATCATTTTAGAACTCATCAATTCGTTTAATGCATAACAATTTGTACAGAAAAGTTATTTATCTCGAATCAATTACACGCAAGCTGAAATCAATAGTAAGATTCAAAGAAAACAACGCTTACGGGGGTATTGAAATACATAACAAGTACGATTTAAGATTTTATCTGTAGTAAGATTTTAATCTATTTCCAGGAAATGTCTTGGCATTATTTATTTACATAAATATGTCAACGTACTTTAGATAAAGCGTCCAGATAGAAGTTAAACAGGATATATGTATAAAAACAAACAGTGTTTCAAATGTTAGAAACATTAAAGATTATTCAATTATATTTAATTCGGTTTCACCTAGATGAATTTCGAAGTAAGTGAACAGTTTAGTCTAAAAAATAAGATAAATGTTCCAACTTTATCCTAAAGGTTATTACTTAGTGTGCAAGATGATCGTTAAAGACATTTATTTAGGAGGCTGTATACTACAACAATAATCTAATCTCAGAGCTTCCCCAATTTCTCACTAATGACAACCTATTTGCATGTGTTTCAACCTACCGGCTTAAATTTTATTATAATAATTATAATATTAAAACACTGCATGTAGCCCAAAATGAAATTATGTATTTCAAATTGAAAGAGTAAAGAAATGTTATACTGTGTTTAATTATCTTAAAGTGGCAGTGGGTTGTATAAAATGAGTTAATTTTATAGTGTATAATTAAAGACACAGTTGAGCTCTTAGCTGTATGAATTATGTTACTATATTGAGTGTCATTGGACTATAATTAATCAATTTTTTTATTCCATTTTGTTACAAATTGACATTAACTCGTCAAGATATGACCTGGATATTGAAATGATATTTTATCATTCCTTTATTGTCCGCTTTTGAAATAAACAAAAATTTCATTCATTCTGTACATCGTTCTTAAACTACCAATAAACACTGGTTAGGGATTACTATGTTTATGCTACTGTTTTTTTATGTACGTGTTCTCCCTCTGATAAGAGGAATAAACTAGAAATGTGTCCATAGGACACGGATGCCCCCACACGCCACTGTTCTGTCAATCTTATGACTCTAGGTCAAATATTTTTTGGACTACATGTACCACAAGTTGAAAACTAAAAATCAACAAAGGGCCATAATTCTGTTAAATTTGGTCGCAGCAAAAATTCCTTCCTTTACTACCATCTACACATTAAGGTTATTCATCCCTGTAAGTTTAAGCAAAATCTGCCATCCGGTTTAAGAGGGGTTGCGTTCACAAAATTTCTACATAGTATCTAGTGAAAAAATCAACAAAGGGCCATAATTCTCTTAAATTTGGTCGCAGCGAAAATTCCTTCCTTTACTACCATCTACACATTAAGGTTGTTCATCCCTGTAAGTTTAAGCAAAATCTGCCATCCGGTTTAAGAGGAGTTGCGTTCACAAGATTTCGGGACGTACGGACGGACTGACGGACGTTCTCACAGGACTGTAATTATGTGGCTACTCTATTGTTCTCTCTATTGTTCTTTTTAGCCACGCAAAAGAAAATAGCCACATAAAAGCATTACGGAATGAATGACATCAAAGAGAAAGAACAGTTACCTATTGTCCCTCTAGCCACATAATTACTCTCCTATGAGTGCATACGGACTGACGGACGGACGGACTGACGGACGGACGGACAAGTGCAACGCTATATGCTTCCACATTGTGGGGGCATAACAAAGCCTTGTAAGGCAACAATAAAAATAACGCATTCTACTGATTCTTTCTGTTGTAAGTCAACCCGGGCCCAAATTAGATCAAAGCACTGAAAGTACTGTTGGAAGGAAATTTTCATAGAAATTCCCGATGCGTGTGAATTAAAAACAAAGGAATATGTGCAAGCTTCAATCTACAGCTAGCTGATTTGATGACGTAAAATGTGACATCATTGTTTCCGTTTTTGCACTACTCATGTTCAGTGGGCTGATAACTAGTTCTTGGCCCAGGGCCCCAAACCCATAAGTTGTGACACTCATAATCAGTTGAAATCATAGGCAATTCTGTTACTAATATAGTAATAAGTGAATTGATAGATAATACTACTGCATTATGAACACAAAGAACCACTCAGTTTGACCTAAATCGGCCATGACTTATATAACTACTTCATAGGAATTCAAGACCATGCCATAAGCATTATTTAATCATAGTTAATGAAGAGACTTTTTATTTTAAAACTCAAGGACAAGAAAAGCTCATCATGTGCTTACATTTGTAAGTTCAAACATAACTAATTGTGTTTTAGTATGAAATTGATGTACATGCTGTTAAAGTCATAGCAAAACAAAGAACAATGATTTAAAATAAACTTTTATTGTCAAAACTTGCATAAAAGTAAAAATATATGTAATATAAAAAATAAATGATTAAATATATGGAGATAATGAAATTTAGTTTGTCAGATAAAATGTGTAAAAGGAACTCCACTGAGGTTTTTTGACATGATGAGACTGAAATTTATTTTTCTAGATTAATGTACCACTCGATGTATGTTTTGACCACTAATCTTTGAGAAAAATTTCAGATCATTTGCGCACTTCGTTTTTCAAGAATAATTATTCAAATTGTAAAAAAATGACCCAAAATGAAAGCGTTTAAACACATATCACGCAGATCAGGCTGAGAAAAGCATAAAAAAATTGATTTTCAATTTATTTCAAAGTATATTTCTTCACTATCTGTGCATATATTTCTGTATCAAGTGCCCCGGCTCATTTCTGTAGAAATTCAAATGTTACGTTTTAGGCTTTTAAACCTCAATGGAGTGAGTCCCTTTAAATTATTGGTACATATTGAGGTGACACAAGTTATAACAATCTGAATGAAAGAAGCTTTAAGGTGACAACGGAGTCAATTATCACTGAAAATACCTAAAATGAGATTTTTTGCTTAGTAGATTTATCAACCTTTTCTGAACACATTCGTGATTTAATTTTGGAAGCAGTTAGTCCAAAAAATGTGTTTTTAAACGTTTTAAAACGGTACCTGTACCATTTTTATCTGCTATTCGCGTAACCTGTCAATTATCGATAACGCTCCGCCCCCTGTTGAGGCATCAATGAGGGAAATCGGTAGTTCCATATATCCGTGAATTACCGGTCCATACTGCTCGTAATTCATGTATCGTACAAATACCGTACATCTTTTATGAATATCGTCTACCTTTTATTTGGCATTTTTTATAAAATAAGAAATTGTCGGCCAATGTACGTAACATAATGTATGAAACATAAATAATTAAGCATAGCGGCAAATCGCACGACCACGGGGTTGATTAAAAATATAGTTGCTAAAATATCTATAATGTGTGAAAATAATTTGTCTGTCCCGTTAATCTGATAGATATTACATTGAGTTTATGGACTTTTGTACGGATTCAACGGCTTGCTTTACATTCGACCTCGTTTTCTAACAATGTCAAGTAAAACAACAACAAAAACAGACAACATTTTTTATGTGAACGCCTATATGACTTGTGGTACGGTGTCCCTGACAAATTTCTAAACCATTTTAGATTGTTTAAGGATGATTATTTCTCTATGAATCAATAAAAAAGATATTAATATATATTATCAATGAATGCTTTGAATAAATTGTTCGCCAGTAAATCGAACACAGTTCTAATAAACCTGGGACAAAGTATGGAATTTATTGTATATCCCAGTAGAAACTGGATACTAGTATCTATACCGTGCATAGATGATTTTCATGATAATAGAAGTCAAGAAGATCAGATCATAATGATAGAGTGATACCTTTTATTTCTATTAAAATATGTGAAGCATTTATATCAATTTGGATGTCAATTTGGATGAAAAAATATATAATATCCCGTTCTTATTTGTACATCTACCGTGGCCTTTAAAATACCGTCAGAAGCTCAGTTTTTTGTTATTTTAATTTATATTTTGACGGAATTTCATACACGAATACACAGACAGAGTGACACTGGTATAATATAATAATAATGCTGATGAAACTTTAAAAGTGAAACAATTAAATACCCCGCTAGCGGTGCGCAAATACGTTCCATTTCCCCCCACCGAGTGCCTCAAATTTTACCGAAAGTCACGTGACATGTGCGACGACAGTAAATCACGTTAAGATTTGAAGAAATTTCTGTTATAAACTGATATAAATCAGCAACTTTTTAATTGGTCAGATGTCACTGGGTCATAAAATGTTGTTAGAGTATGTTACCGCAACCTGTGACCCTCTCTGGTGCGATATTTGTGTATTATGCAATTATTTAGCGTGAAACGTAGGGGTCCGAGAGAGAACAGCCGATTTATGACACTTCGTTTGATGCGGGTCGGACTAACTTTGAATCGGCATAACTTTTTTAATAATCAAGCAATTAACATGCGGTTTAAAGCACATGAAAGGGAATTCATTTACGGAGGGAACCGTGTCAGGGATTTTTGTTTGCTCAATCAGCGACTTAATTATCTTTAATTATGTAATATGTATGGTGAAAAAAGTCGCATAAATTGTTTGACGTTACGTATTTTTTTTTTTGAGAAAAGACACGGTTCCCCAGCTATTTTAAGTATGTTTATTTTCCAAAAGTTTGATAACAAAAAAATAAAAAATGACTTTGATAGGACGTTTTAAAATTTTAGGATTTTTATTAAAAATCAATCATTTACAAAGGCATTTTTTTCAAATATGTTATTTTTTATGATGATCAGCGACATTTAATGCACAAAGATTAAATAAATAACAATTATTACTAAAATAAGTTGGTTTAAATGACATTCATGTGAGTACCACGGAAAGTGTCTGTTGTCACCTTAATGCAAACGGCCAGTAATATAGGAGGTGCTGTTTTAAGGATTTTTTACATACAAGACTGACATTATACAACAAAATATAGTCATAAGTAGAAATGTGCCCATAAGACTTGAATGCCTGCGTTAAGAACAATGCTTATATTGAGTGGGTTATCAAAATATGTACATAATTAGACAAGCCCACTGGCATCATATATCAAGCCTGTTGCCATTATTCAGAACTGAACCTTAAAGCTTCAGATTGGGGAGAAAGATGTATACATAAATGAACATTTGTGATAAATGTTATGAAAATCTAGCCATGTATATAGAAATATACTCTCATGTTTTAAGTTATTATTTGACTTTTGATCCAAAGTAGTGACCTTGATCTTTGCAACAGACACCTGATTTTTCATACTACACTCCAACTCACTAAAGACTGTTAAATTTTGTCCAGAGTTATATGAAAAATCTTTATAGATTTCAAAAGCATTCAAATATTATCAGTTATAAATCAATTTTTTGCATATGATTTGGTAAGGAAGGCATAATGTTGTATAAATTTTGTGGAATGTAACTGAAATCATACTTGACCTGTGTTTTGATATATTGTTGAATATACCAGTTATAAATTGAATCCTTAAAAGGTGTACAAATCTTATTGGTTGGAAACTAAAATTTCAGTGGAAATTTCACATACTGACCGGACTGACAGACAGGGTAACACTTAATGCCCTGTCATTATTCTTTAAATGGCATGGGCATATAAACATAGAACAGGTTAGCTTACAAGAGCATTTCTGTTTTCATATTTTACTAGGTAAAGTACAAAGAAATGATATTGTTATAATTTTATGAGCCATCACATCAAACCGTGATCAATGTAATATGAAGTATGGGAAAATAAGTAACAAGAAGTGCATGTTTAACTAAAACAGAATGTATGATTCAGAGGAAAACTGTAAAAATAAAGTAAATAATGTTAAAAAAAACAACACAACAAAAAAAACCATAAAAAAGTTGACCATCATTTGGACTTTCATGAGTTGGCCATGCTAATCTTAGAATAAGAACATAAATAAAAATACAACATTATACAAAAGGTAGTACAAAAAATACAATGATCAAAAGTTTGAAAGTGAACACTTGTTGGTAAAATAAACAAGAATTTGTAACGGAGATACCAACGTCCCCCGCCTCAGGGAAGTTTTATATGAAGCAAAAAATTGTGATATTTCAAAAGATTGAGGCAGGGAACTAAGGATTTTCAGTCCAAAATTATGATCAATGCTAGATCTGCAAATGCAACAATAAATTTATTGAAGAAATAAAATGAAATACTGAATTTTCAAAATATATCATGTTAAGCTTTGCAGGGATTTTTTGGCTTATTTTATAGCCGTTATTGGGACATATTCCCAATTGAAAATAGTATATTATTTTCCCAATCCAAAGGAAAATATTCCCAATTGAAAGTTACAAAAAATATAAATATTGAATAAAGAATTCTAAAATCTTTGAAAATAAGGGCTTCTTTACTGCAATAGTGTTTAAATGTTTGAAGAAGCCATCCTAGGCAGTGATTGCTTGCATACATTTAATCACTGCAAACTTTCAGTCATGCATTTTTTCCAATTTTAACAAAAAATCGCTGAAATTCCCAGTTGCATGGTATGGGTTATGTTCCCAAAATCCTGGAAAAAAAATCCCTGCTTTGACCTCTTAGTGTGACCTTGACCTTGGAGGTAGGGGTGCAGGTGTTGTGCATGACATATCATCTTATCATTGTGACTATTTGTGCCAAGTATTTTCCAAATCCCTTCATCTATGAAGAAGTTATGGACGGGGCATAAAATATACAATATAACAGACTTTGTTACCTTTAAACCTCTAATTGTGACCTTGACCTTGGAGGCAGGGGTGCAGGTGTTGTAATTGACATATCGTCTTATTATTGTGACTATTTGTGCCAAGTTATTTCAAAATCCCTTGAACTATGAAGAAGTTCTACATTGGACACAATATATACCCTTTAAAAGACTATGTTAATTTTTTACCTTGAAATGTGACCCTGACCTTGGAGGTAGGGATGCAGGTGTTGCGCATGACACATTGTCTTATTATAGTGAATATTTGTGCCAAGTGTTTTCAAAATCCTTTGATATACAAAAAAGTTATGGACCGGACAAAAAAAAAACCCTATAACAGGCTATGTTAATCTTAGACCTCCAAGTGTGACCTTGACCTTGTAGGTTGGTGACCGATTGTTGCGCATGACACATCATCTCATTGTTGTGAACAATTGTGGCAAGTATTTACAAAATCCCTTCAAAGATAAGAAAGGTATAGACTGGACACGAGATATATCCTCAAATGGACAATGTTGACCTTGAATGAGCAAGTGTGACCTTGACCCTGATGGTAGGGGTCTGGTTGTTGCACATCATCGTCTTATTATAACAAACATTTGTGCCTAGTTATTTCAAAATCCTTCAATAAATGACAAAGTTATGGACCGGACACGAAATATACCCTGTAACAGGCTATGCTAATATTTGACCTCCAAGTGTGACCTTGACCTTGGAGGCAGGTGACCTGTTGTTGAGCATGACACATCTTCTCATTATTGTGAGCAATTGTGGCAAGTATTTACAAAATCCCTTTAGAGATAGGAAAGTTATAGACCGGACACGAGATATACTTTCAAATAGACAAGTTGACCTTGAATGAGCAAGTGCGACCTTGACCTGGAGGTAGGGGTCTGGTTGTTGACATGACTCATTGTCTTATTATAACAATCATTTGTGCCAAGTTATTTCAAATTCCTTCGATAAAAGCTTGAAGTTGATAAAGATTTTGTTCATACATATTTCAACAAGAGGGCCATGTGTATATATAGGCCCCTGGAGCGGGGCCAGTTTAAACCCCAGGGCTTTTATTTGACCAAACTTGTAAGACACCCGTTAGAAGATGTTTCATGATGTTAAGTTTTTACTACACACATATAATGTAAAACAAAGACCTCTGCACCACCCCCCACCCGGCATGGCCAATTTTTATACAAGGGCTTAAATTTGAACAAACTTGGTCGACACCATAAGATGTTTCATGCTAAACATCTAGGCTCTAGCTCATTGGGTTTTTTAAAAGAAGATTTTTTAAGTTTTTACTATACACAAATAGTTAAAAACAATGAAACCCCTGGGGCGGGGCCAGTTTTGACCCCAGGGCTTTTATTTGAACAAACCTTGTACACACTTACCAGAAGATGTTTCATGCTTAATATCTAAACTCTAGCTATTTGGGTTTTTTCAAAGAAGGTTTTTTAAGTTTTTGCTATACACATATAAGGAAAATCAATGACCCCCGGGGAGGGGCCAATTTTGACCCCAGGGCTTTTATTTGAACAAACTTTGTAGACACTTACCAGAAGATGTTTCATGCTTAATATCTAAACTCTAGCTATTTTGGTTCTTTAAAAGAAGATTTTTAAGTTTTTACTATATGCATATAGGGAAATTCAATGACCCCCTGGGGCGGGGCCAATTTTGACCCCAGGGCTTTTATTTGAACAAACTTGGTAGACACTCACTAGAAGATGTTTCATACCTTTAAAAGAAGATACTTTGTCTAAGCTCTAGCTCTTTGGGTTCTTTAAAAAAGAAGATACTTTAAGTTTTTTTCTTTTGGTTGCCATGGCAACCAGCGTTCTATGAACAATATTTAGAGGTGACCACCAAAGAAACATTCCTGTGAAGTTTGGATGAAATTGGCTTAGTGGTTTATGAGGAGATGTCATTTAAAGTAAAAGTTTACGGACGGACGCCAGACGAAAAGCGATCAAAAAAGCTCACCCTGTCACTTTGTGACAGGTGAGCTAAAGATAGTTAAGTGATCTTATTTTCCTGGTAAATAACTGGTGGCTCAATAAAGTTCTATACATATTATGATATTTCAAATATTGGAAAGTTATCTCTAGTTCTTGGTGAAAGACTGGTGACTAGTTTTCTCCTCAATGTCATTTCTTTTTCTAATTAGATTAAGTCATGGTACTATATTCATGAGGCTTTCGACATCACATCTAAGAACTCATTATCCAACATTGCAAAGGGCAGGCAGTCTCCTGGTATTCCAATTTCTTTTAAGTTTTATAAAACCACAATATTTCTATTTCTTTAGTGTTTCCGACATGAAGACACATCTACATGTATCTTTCCTTTTCACTCCTGCTTTTACTGTTCTATCATATAAGCGCCTCTGTTTCCTGAAATATTTGTTTAGAAAAAGTTAATTGCAAAGTTAAAAGTCCACTTGTAAACCCTTGCCGAGCTCGAACTTACAGCAGTGAAAGGCTTAAAGGTTTAAAGTCAAGAAACTAAACCAATCAGTCACAGACACCCCAAGTATTTTATCTATTTGCTAAGCAGCAATTTTTTCAAAATTATTTAAATTCATAAATGTGAGTGATTCTGATAAGCTATAGACAGCTAAGTGATGATAAGTATCATGATCATATATGTCAGATATGTCGGAGTGCTAACACTGCTTACTGTGAATATTCAATATTTTAATGTGAATTGTCCTGAGGTAAAAAGGAAAAGAAAGCTGAATTCCTTAATACATGTTACATGTCACAATTGTTCTTGCTATTAATTTTGTTCCTAATTTCTTGTATAAGATATTTAAATACACTGTAATTCTTTTTTATAAATTTGGCTTTTTGTGACAATAGTCTATCCAGTGACCGAAGCTCACTGACTTAAAATAAACTGTCCTGTGTCAGCCTTTAAACAAGTCAAGAAAAAAAAAGCTACTAGAATATAATAATTAAGAAATATCATATACAAATACTTCTAAATAATCATGTACCTCTTCCTTAAAAGCCCATGCTATTGAAAGAAACATTTTTTCCATTTGTTCACTTCAAGGTTAGTCAGATTGACAGTCTCACATTTTAGCCTTGATCTCTCGTGATTTCATTGTCATTGACCCTAAAGCATCCTTAAAATCGATATCCTGCTGTTCACATTCATAAATCTGACATGTTGGCCGAACTTCTGAAACATAAAATATAATTATTATTAGATATACATATAGTATCCCAATAATTATGTTAGTTGATATCAAATCAATAATTTAAGCAGTGTTCGAAATTAGCAGTAGTCCGAGAGCCCGACTACTAAATTTCTCCTCGGGCTATCAACTTTTCACAGTAACAAGCCCGACCAGGCTACTGTATTTTCAGAGGCAATATAAACAACTGTTTTGAACAAATGAATCGTGCTAGTGAAATGTCTTTTGGACAAGTGAATATTCCAATCTAGTAGTCCGACCAGCCTAGTCGATTCAAATCCTAATTTCTTACACTGTTTAAGAAACAATTTGTTCAAAATTGTCCAAGCATAAAGATTTTTATAGTATACTATAGTAATTATAGTGTATATACAGTATGTATTAAATGTCTTTACTATCTACTATACTGTCCTGAAATTTCAAGAAAACAACTATCTTTAAAATCCATTTTCTCAGAAGTTGCAAAACCAAGTGAATGAAATTGCTCTGGGTTTGTATTATTCTGTACAACTTCTGATCACAAAAGCTTCAAGGACATTTATGAGTGAGTCAGGTCCTATCCTGAAAGATTGTTGTTCAAGTTTGAAGACAATCCATTCAAAAATAACAAAGTTATAGCCACTAATAGCAAAAATCAAGAAAATTTAGACATTTACCTTGAATGTTAATATGGTGGTCAAGTTAATTTAGTTTAGTCTGGTCTATTTGAAGGGTTGTTGTGGCCAAGTATGAAGACAATACACCAAGATCTGAAAAAGTTATGAACAAGGTTAAAGTTTGATGACAGCAATGGGAAAGCCGTCATGACTAACAATATATTTAATAATTTTGGCCCTAATGCAAACTGAAAATTCTAGCCTATAAACACTGTTGAGACTAGCTGTTCAGCATTTTTTCAATAATAAATAAATGCAATGATAAAGTCGGTAGCTTGCAAGTCTTCTAACATTTTTACAAAGAATGAACATATATATATTTTTTCCTAATAATTCTATAATGATGTTCAGTCATTTATATTATAACAAGATATCGGAAAGATTATAGATATATCAGAAATGAATTGGCCCGTGGACTTTAATGTCAATCATAGAGCTCTTATGCAAAATGTAATGGTAAGCAAACATCCAGCATGAAATTTTCAAGTAGCCACAAGTTAAATAAAATTATTAAAAATACTACTTTGTCATGATTCAATTACTGCTGGAAATTGACCCACATGTTTTATTACAAATTTATTACATCAATATTGTCCATAGAAATAATAAATTAATTTTCAGTCTCTTTCTCTTTGCGCTTTCACACAGATTTGAATTATTCAAGTTCCATGATTTTCAGAGTAAAAAAACTTCTGATCATCAAACACTAAAAATTACTATACCAACTGCAAATTGCAGTCTGTGCGAAAGGCTGTCTGTCCTCGGACCTCGCCAAATAAAAATCAAGAGGGCCAAGATAAATTTTGATACAGTTATCGAATATCAATTGTACACAACAGTTAAATATAATATATTATAAACTTATTTCTATGTTAATAGATAGTCTATATACAATAGAAATGAAAAAGCAAATCCTACACAACAGTCAACACTGTAAATTCGAATCAGGGTCAGCTCGGCCCTTAAACGTACTTGGCCCTCGAGTCAGCTCGGCCCTATTCCAACTCAGCACGGGTCAACTCGGCCCATAATTATATATTACTGGTAATGATTACTTTTCTTACTTTTGATATGTTTTCATCATAACTTTCATGGTTTAACATTTTCACACTAACAGACATCTACTCAAGGATATTGAAAAGTTTTATTGATGAAAGTACCAATTTGTATGTGAATTTGTAGAGAAAGAAAGAATTTACAATTTAAACGCATTTTATGCTACTCCAGATTTTTTGTAAAAAATATCGTTAAAAAGGCATTTGTCATATTAAAAAACAAACAGTATTAAATACAATAAAATTCATTGTCACAAAAATTCAATCTAAAAACTGTATTTATTGATCAATATTTAACATATATTGTCTTGATATCTCTTCTTAAGATAATAATTTATCTTAAAGATAATTTCAAACAGTATGTTATTAACTAAACAATCTATATCCTAATATATGGTTTTAATAGAGGACCGAGTTGACCTGTCCCGAGTTGGTATAGGGCCGAGTTTACCTGTAAATTCAATAATGTAAACAATCCTTGACCTAATTTCGTTTGTCTAACAAATTAACATCTGCAAACACAAAACGATTTTGAACAAAGAAATAAAAGCATTTCCACAAACCTTTGCGATGTTATTCATCAGCAAATCTATGTCTTGGATGGAGAAATCTGAAAAACACGAACGTTATTCTGTCGATGGTCCGAACAATGGCGGGTGTGCCCTTCTTATTAGTCAAAACCAAGTTTGCATCCGTTAATTCCAGAATACTTTTGAAAGACTTGTATTGTAATCTTGTTTTTTATTATTTATATAATAATATTTTTGTTTCAAACGCTTTGATTCTATGATAGTTTGCGAACCATTTTTTGCGAAAATAGTACGCCTTTTTAAGGCCACATATTGTATCCATTGTTTCCTCTTGAGTTATCGACGTAAAAAAATCAGCGGTGGCATAAAATGCTATTCAATAAATTGCTAAATATATACAATAAATACTTTCATTTCCCTTCGGTTGACTTATATGTGAACTTTTCAGCATCTCTGCTACAAAATTACACCTTATTTATATTCAATTTATTGTACATAGGTACATGGAGGGTTTGCCTAAAATACGAAAGTGAGATTTTTGACGAAAGTGAGCGAAAGTGAGCGAAAGTGACTTTTAGAATTTGAATTGTACTGTTTTAATAGAATTTTACAGTAAAATTGCTGTTTGCATACGTATATTATTAGCAACTTATTATATGTATTATAATAAATAACCATAATCATGATTTAATCGCCATTTATTGGCATAAATTCTATATACAAGTTCAGCAATCTTCCTTTCACTTGCATATAAAAATACGAAAGTGACTTGTAAAGTATTAAATATAGAGTTTAAATTGAAAATGTACTATATCTGCAGTTTGTAAACGTGTATTATAAGAAATTACTATTATTTATTTTCTAAATTAATCATTATGATGATTTAAAGTTTTATACCCGATTTTTTTTTGCATAATTTCTATAAATACACATCAGCGATCTTCCTTTCACTTAAACTGAAACATACGAAAGTGACTTGTAAAATATCAAATATAGAGTTTGAATTGAAAAATGTACTTAAATTGCAGTTTGTAAACATATAACATCAGAAATAAATAATTTGATATTCAACACTATATTTCAATTAAACGCTATATTTTAGAAGTCACTTTTGTATTTTCTATGTGAGCGAAAGGAAGATTGCTGAACTTGTATATAGAAATTATGTCAAATAAATGGTGATTAAAGATCATAATGATTATTTTTAAAATAAAAATTATAGATTTCTGATAATATACGTCTGCAAACTGCAATTTTAGTATAAATTTCAATTCCATATTTAATAATTTACAAGTCACTTTCGTATTTTTCAAAGTGAGCGAAAGGAAGATCTCAGAACTTGTGTATAGAAATTATGCAAATAAATGGCATTTAAATCATCATATACTATATTAGTGATTATTTTTGAAAAGAAATATTATTAGTTGCTAATAATATACGTCCACAAACAGAAAATTCACTGTGAAATTCTATTAAAACGGTACAATTCAAATTTTAAAAGTCACTTTCGCCCACTTTCGCTCACTTTCGTCAAAAATCTCACTTTCGTATTTTAGGCATACCGGTACATGGACACAAACTTTTCTTTGGCCTAATGCGTAATAATACTGATGTTTTTTTTTCGTACACGTTTAAGATTATGTTCCATTGATGTAAGCTAACATTGAATATCATCATTTCAAGTTTTTTTGAACATCAGCTTTTTCTTCAAGTCATCCACGTTTGAAAGTATACATATAGTTCTGCTGCACTACTTTCTTGGTCGCATTAACTACTTATTTTCTATTGAGCTTAAACAGAATTCAATTAGGTGTTGTTCGTTCTTTTTCAATAAAGGCAGACCGATACTATAGAAAGGAATTTTTTTTTTGAAAAAATTTCCTACAATAATCTGGTACCAAGTCAATCTAATATCTAGTCAACCCGGACTCACTTTATTATTTATTTAGCACTACTTTTCTTCACTTACTTTTTTATACTCAAGAAAAAATGTGAACGATTATCAAGGTAAAAAAATGGATTCATGGTATCGAGATATGGAATGTGTTTCTAGATGTACATAATTAAAACTAAATAACTAAATTAATGTGTTTTTAATGTTATTGTTTGTTTTTAAAGAGTAAAGGCGAACAGTGAGGCATTCTCTTGTGTTTTCTATCTTGATAATTATTGATAATAATAATAATTTGCATAGAAAAGATTAATAAGGAAAAAGTAAAAAGTAGTGCTGAATAAATAATAACAAAACGTTTTTCTTTTCCCGATTACACAACCTTTGAGGACCCGCCTAATGGAAAGTAACGAGACTTGCCGATTTCACCTGCTATTGTAAAAAAAGTTACGGATAAAATGACATTACTTTCCATGAAAAATTGTAAAGCATTTATCAGTCGCACATGGTCTGTCTCCGCTGATCAAGAGCAAGGATTCACTACACTTACGTATTTATGTAAGTGTGGCTCTTTGAAATGTTAGTGAAACACTCGCCAGACCAGAGACGAACTTAAACTACCACATATTGTATTTGGAACATTAAATCAAACAATTGAATGACAGGTATTGAAATCTCCGGCGCTCCCAACATCCCCTGCATCAAGTTAATCACGCATTATTCTTCTTTTTCTGCACGATTTTGTTCCCATTTAATTATAGCGTTCCCTGCTGTCTCGACTCTCTGGTGAAAATACAGGGATAATACGAATAATTGACCACTCGCCATTCAGAAATATCAGCGATGTATTACAGTATTCCAAGAACTATATTTATCAGACGTTTAATTTATTCATGTCAACATTATTTTGGTAAGTTAGAAGTGTTCACATAAAAAAGTAAAAGGATTTAATCAAAATGATTCCACCGAATGAACAACCATTCAGTCGCTATAATTTAACTGCAAATAGGGTGTTTGTTCTCCCAAAACATATGATAAGCTCACTGTTGTTTTCTCTAATTTAATTACGAAACTAAAGTAGGTGTTCCAAATGAAAAGAATTACATTTTCTCTTGATCAGAACAACATAAAAAGTGACCTTCAATAATATTAATAAATACGATATATTCCTGATTACACGTAATATTATAGACGTTATATACTATGGAGAGTTGTTAACATTCTCTGAATAGTCTCAAGTCATGACTACGACAATAATTGACCTGGAACTTCAGATCCAATTCAATATTGTGAAAACTGAAAACAATTCTTTTATCATAGAATCAGGCACTTTGTGCTGTTTTTAATGGAATAAAGATAAAAGTAGTGAGACAAAACTTTTAATTTATAAGTATAATAAAAAATAAAAATAAGCATGTTCATTAGGGCATGTAAATAATTGTTGTGAGCAAATATGACACCCTCAAGCAATAATAATTTTTGATTTCTATATTCAAATTTACAGTTATATATACAAAGTTATATGTACAAATGTTAGCCAAATAGAGAGAAATACGCAAAGTGGAGGCTGAATGGGGAGGCGGATGTAAGAAACTAGTATCTTTGAAAAATATTTCAAAAAGATAAAGTATCGTCACGTTTGTATTTTTTCTTCGTTATGATGCAGCTGTGCGCTGATTGGCTTAGTATGGTCAAATGTAACCTCTCTTTCTGATTGGCTTTTGCTGCACTGAATAAATTAACATAAAATGAATGTTGAGTTAATTACCAAATGATCATTACAGATTGAATAATCGAAAATAGAAACAAGAGGGCCATGATGGCCCTGAGTTGCTCACCAGAAGCAACTGCTTTTTCAGTGTTTGAATGTCAATATATTCTCATATTAAACTTGAGCATAGAATATGTTTAAACAATATTTTGAAGAAATGCCATGACCTAGGGCATTTAAGCTTTAGCTTAAACAGGGCTAATCAAATTAATATGAGCAAACTTGATAAAACACTACCTAAGAATGCTACAAAGTTTGGGTGATCATCTATTAATTATTTCAGTAGGAAATGATGTTCAAAGGTTTTTTTCTATTTTTAGCTTAAGTGGCCCCTAAAAGGGGCTAATCAAATTAATATAAGCAAACTTGATAAAACACTACCCAAGAATGCTACAGACAATGTTTGGTGATCAGCCATCAATTGGTTCTGAAGTAGGAGATGTTTAAAGGTTTTTCTATTTTTAGCTTTAGCGGCCCCTAAAAGAGGCCAATCAAATTAATGTGAGCAAACTTGATAAAAGATTACCCAAGAATGCTACAGACAAAGTTTGGTGATCATCCATCAATTAGTTCTGTAGAAATAGACATTTAAAAGTATTTCTATTTTTAGCTTTTGCGGCCCCTAAAAGGAACCAATCAAAATAATATTAGCAAACTTGATAAAAGACTACCCAAGAATGCTACAGACAAAGTTTGGTGATCATCCATCAATTAGTTCTCTAGAAATAGACATTTTACGGTATTTCTATTTTTAGCTTTAGTGGCCCCTAAAAGGGGCCAATCAAATTAATATGGGCAAACTTGATAAAACACTACCCGAGAATGCTGTCGACAAAATTTGGTGATCATCCATCTATTAGTTCTGTAGGAGAAGATATTTAAAGGTTTTTCTATTTTTAGCCCTAGAGACCCCTTAAAGGGGCCAATCAAAATAATATTACCAAACTTGATAAAAGACTACTTAACAATGCTACAGACAAAGTTTGGTGATCATCCATCAATTAGTTCTCTAGACATAGACATTTAACGGTTTTTCTATTTTAACCCATTACTTCATGAGCATTTTGTGAAAAATGGCTGTTTTCATTGAAAAGTCTCCCGTTACAAGTTCAAATTGCTATAATACTATAAAAACTGCTTCAACACTAATCAAACTTGGCACAAATGTTGACTGGACCATTGCACTTGCAACAACATGCTCAGGCTTAAATTTTCTGTTACCATGGCAACGAGGGGACATCTCAAAATTGCCAAAAATCACTATTTTGCGTTGATTTTTTCCATCAAAATTGATTTCAAAGTGCTGCACTTTCTCAATGGATTGAGATAGAGTCAAATGCTTTTCAGCGTTGGTTACACGTTACCTTATGATCAATCTGGGGTCATTTACAGCCTCTCCCAAGTCCAAAATTTTTCTTTGGCGATGAGGGGGACTCCGCCCCCCTTCAAACCCCCCAAACAGAAGGGGGCACATCCCCCTTCTGGCAACCCCCTGATGTATCTTTTGGTTGGGGGCCGCGCCGAAAAAGAGGTCACTTTTTTAACAACATTTCTCAAACAAAAACAAGTGTTTGGGGCCTAAATAAGGCATTTTTTCATCATTTGAGACAACAAAAAAGGGGGGGGGGTGAAAAAGGCGTTAAAAGGCGTGTATATGAAGTAATGGGTTAACTGAAAATGATGAAAATACTTGAAATTACCCTAAATCGCGTTTTTTCATGTTTAAACATGGCCTGTCATATAAAATTTGAAGAAAAATTGTTGTTTTGTAGATTTTTTTATTTTTTTTCATTAACCCATTACTTCATGAGCATTTTGTGAAAAAT